TTTTTTAAAAAATGAAAACAAAAAATTGTCCTTAAGCTTTTTTTCCTAAAAACTACACTTTATTTTTTAGAGCAATTTTAGACTCACAGCAAAATTGAGCAGAAAATACAGAGAATTCCCTGCCCCACTCTCCCCCATGCAGTCTTCCCTATCTGTGAATATTTTTAAGGAGTTAAAGATAGGGCCCTTTAGTTCAGATTGATTATGTGCCTGTGCCATATAAACTAAAATAAAATATAATCTTTAATAACTTTAAATTTTACTTTTTAGAGTGTTTTCTGTTTACCTATTGTTTTCTTTTGTCATATGCAAACTTTGTATAATTTAACTTTCTTCACTGTTATCTATTGGTGAACACAGTGGTAGAACAGGGAAGCAGCTTGTCCAATACCAGCATGTAATCTACAGCTGGAATTTAGTGTGTAAGTTGTTCCGTCCAATTTTGTATTCACCAGGCCACACTACCATCTTCAGTTTTCCACAGTGGGTGACTCTGTGGCCCCAAATCTAGCCCTTTGCTAACCTTTGCTTTTGGCTAAGCCAATAAAAGAATTAAGACAATTAGCATGAAGTGTTACTTTGTGATATTAACACCTTCAAAACTGCTCTCTTAGACATATTATAGTGTTTTCCAATTTAATATAGTTTATTTGGTGAAATCAGTCTCCTAGAATTAGGCGCTTTAATTTATCTAGCTTACTAGTTATCTCCTAGGGTCAATTTTGCTTCCCCATCCCTACCTGGGAACATGGGCCAATGTTTGGAGACATTTTTGGTCATCACAACTGGAGCGGGTGGTGCTACTGGCATCTAGTGGCTAGAGGCCAGGGAATTTCCTAAACATCCTACAGTGAACAGGATACTCGCTGAACACCCAGCCTTCAAGAATTATTCCATCCAAATGTCAGTAGTGCTGAGAAATGTGATCTAGCTCAATTTAACCATTATATCATAGCATTAAAGCTGTTAGGCAGAAAACACTAGTTAAGATTTAGTGTTATTTTTGCCTGTTATAAAACAATATGTTCTGGATCAGTGTAAAATAAAATTTTCTTTACATAAAAATGTGTTTTGGAGGTTTAAGAGCTTGCTGAGCTTTAGAAAACAAACTGAATGATGTGAAGCCCAGCTACCCATCTGATAGCTCATTTTTTATTTCTTCTGAGTTTTTAAAAGAAAAATTATTTAGTACTAAGAAATAAGTGATTCATTCCTATGAGGTTAAAATATATGCTGTAATATTTTCATTGTATACCTATGTGTGTTGGATTATTAATCTTTCCTTTATCACCAGTGGATGATTAAAGAGCATTATGTTAACATAGATCTGTTCAAATTTAGCAAATCTCAGGAAAGCAAAAAGATATTAAACGTGAAATCTCTAATGACTATCAGTTTTGATTCATAGTGGCTATAGAGTAATTTCTCCTCTTCCTAGGATTGTTATTCTAGAAGCGAGCCAAGGGAGTTAGAATTTCTAGAATAAGGCAGGTCCAAGTTCGAGAAACTTCCATCTGTAATGGAGGTGGGAATGAGCTAGAGATGTACATGGAAACTTCCCAACTTTCTGATATGCTAATAAAGCCAGAAAGCATTGACTCTCTGGCATTTATTCACCAGTGCAGGCTTCTTCTACATCTTATTTCCCAGTTGGTTTCCATGCCAGT